TATATATATATATATATATAGTTTTATTGTTTGTGTGAAGAACATGTGCTAACCTGCAAAACATCAAATAGGTCCGTTTTTCTGGTTTGCAATAAGAATTGTTTTTACTGAGATTGTAGAAGTTTTACCCAATTGTTTGAAGATATAATTTAAAGCTTATTTACCTGCAGATGTTTAATACTTGTTTGTTTGTTTTTTCTATTTTGTATGGTTTTATGTAACCTGAATAATTCAGTCATTATATTCGGCGAATCTCCAATCGCTTTTAACGCCTGTATGCACCCACTGTGAAAACGCGTCAAACTGGAACTAATATCCTCAATGCATTGTGGCCTAAATATCGGGAAAATGAGCGTAAATTTTCGTCTTCTCGTATCCTGGTGGTAAGACAATGAAAGTGTCTTTGTTGCCTCAAATAATTTGATAGCCATTGTCTGCTTATCTTTGAAATTAAATTTCTATTTTCTTTCTATAAATTGAATAGATTTGTCAACATCCATTTTGTAAACAATAATACCGGAAATTGACGCCGGATATTATGATTTAGCCAAAATCTATAGTTCTAGGGTTTTCGTTGGCCACGTGCTGCAGAGGGCAGTTGATGTTGTTTGTTGTTGGGTGTTTTTCATTAGCAGCATTAAAAACTTCGCAAATCGATAGTTGTGGGATAGAGGGCGCTACATTATTCAAGTTAGGTTTCACGATGGGACATTATCTTGGACGTTACGGTTATTTTGCAACGTGTAATCCTTATTGATTTTCATGGCGCTGCTACCACATCCTTCAGCACAAGTGATCATGAAATAACAGTAATTGGCCGATTGTCAAACGCTTCAAGTCTAGCATTTAGTGCTAAAAAAATAATGACGTTGAAACGTGTTCTTGTAATGCATCCTCAGTCGAAGTTAAAATTAAACTGTTGAATCTCTTGTGATATCAAAACGCAATCCTCCTCATAAGAAGAGGTTGGTTTAATAACACATTTAAAATAGATAAGTTTAGTAATAAAATATATTAGCCAGCAAACTTAACTTGGCGATGCAAACCTTTGACCACAGTTCAAGTTAATTCTGGACCCAAACTCAATAATTTAATTTGAAAATAACTCCACTGTTATTATGAGACTATTTTTTATTATTGTAATCATGTAATAAGTAGGCGTCGTATTAACACTAATTTTTAAGGACCTACAATCTTGAGTGTGTTTGAAAAAAAAAAAAGTTATTATCTTCGTAAGGCTTCTACTTTAAATTTTTTGTTTTAATTATAATAGCAACTAGTAGAAGGAGCCAATAGTGATATAATATTCACGATTTTTATGAGCAAGGTATTCCATTAGGCTTAAATAACCATGAAATTTAGGTTTAATTTTGCATTACTTGCACGTTTTGATTTATCTTATGATTATTATGCCGATGCAATTAATGCATTAAAGGTTTGTTTAATTAGTATTTAATCACTTATTTCCAGATTACTTATCTTTATTGCATAGTTTAAATTTATAAAGTTTAATTTTTTTCCACGGAGATTAATGCAAGCAAAAGCGGAATCTTATTATATAATGGATTTATAGCCACCACTGTTCACGAGAAGGAAACTTGTTAATTAATTAACGTTGTTTATCAGAGTTTTAAAACATCCTCTTTATTATTTCGCTTTCTCAGCTATATATCAGGCTCTTTGTTCAACGGAAGTGTTAATACTTCTTCTCTATACTCCGTAAAAGCTATACGAAACAAGAGGGAATCCTCAATAGCCGCGGCACTTGAAAGTTTTTTTAGGCAGGATTAGAGGAAATTGATGTATGAGACATTTTTTTTTTATTAGCTATATTTTTGTGCGCCAGCAATACCAAGCGTGAGACGCGTGTATACCTGATTCGATTTTATTAGTTATCAGGATCTCTACCATCCTACCCTCAAATTGAAATTATTTTAGGCAGGATAAAAGTAAATTAATCTACGAGATCTTGGGCGTGGTCAAATGTATCAATCAAAAGGGTTCGACTTCCTGAGCCGAAAACTGTAATTAGATCTCAAATTGGGTCAAGATATGACAGAGCTATGAGCTAAATGTTTTTACTTGATAAAAAGACAACTCGGAGCCGTTCAATGAGCCACTATGCCGCAGCTAAAAAAATAGAAATAAAGTATACATTCCGTGTACTTGTCATGCTGTAACATAACCACGAGTTGAAAAAACTGACTCGGGCTGAGCAAATCTTTCATCACAGTCAGATCGATCGAATTATCAGATATTATTAAAAAGTTAGAATCGACACCTTCTACTCTTTTTGTGTCTTTTACGTAATTTATTTCCTGACAAGTTAAATCTTTTATTATTTTTATTACGTATTCACTCTTCTTGTTTCTTACTGTGTAAAATATGTTGGATAAAGAGATACAATTTTTATAAGACAACAATACATACTTGAAGCAAATTTTCTTTAAATAGAAATGTGCAAATATCTGCAAAATATCTCTTATTAATTAATTAATCCATTTGTTATTCCTTTGTTTAAAAAAGAAAAGTCAAAATATCTGCGTAGTATCTTTTGTTAATTCTGCAAAGCCACAGCACCTAAACTTTCCCATTTGTGGTCTTAGTTCTTAAACTAACATACACAGAATAATGGTAGTTAAACTAGCATGCATAGAGGAATGTTACTTAAACTAACATACACCGAATAATGGTAGTTAAACTAGCATGCATAGAGGAATGTTACTTAAACTAACATACACCGAATAAGGGTACTTAAACTAGCATGCATAGAGGAATGTTAATTAAACTAGCATGCATAGAGGAATGTTACTTAAACTAACATACACCGAATAAGGGTACTTAAACTAGCATGCATAGAGGAATGTTAATTAAACTAGCATGCATAGAGGAATGTTACTTAAACTAACATACACCGAATAATGGTACTTAAACTAGCATGCATAGAGGAATGTTACTTAAACTAGCATGCATAGAGGAATGTTACTTAAACTAGCATACACAGAATAATGCTACTTAAACTAACATACAAGAATAATGATACTTAAACTAGCATGCGTAGAGGAATGTTACTTAAACTAACATACACAAACTAATGACTAGAGGAAACTCGTACTTTGCGTACGAAATATGTTTTTTGTGGCATCTTGTATCTGAATACACAAAGTTTATAAAATGTAAAGGCAGTGCTGCGTATTTAAAGTCATTGAAACAGTTACTTGACCAGCCTAGATTTCTCCCGTTTTGTGCGTATAGTTTTGGATGAATCTGATGGCCGTGCGGGGCGTCTCAATGACTGCGAGATTAAACATATTCCACAATACGTTATACCCAACAACTACGGCTAATACAAAGAACACTTTGAGCCGAATGATCTTATTAAAAATTATAAACCCATCGACTTAACTAGTAAGAGACACCACATCTAGCAACGCTTTCGAAACCTTAACACATAAACACTGTTGTCTGAGATAAGGTTCTGAGGGATAACAGATCCATTTCCCAAATACATTTCCCTTTACAATGCATGATACTATCTACACCTACCCCTCCCTTATGAATATGATGGCATCATTCGTTCTTCCCTTCTCCTAATTTCATTTCTGCGTAGTTCAATGAAGTTTATGGAGCTTCCCACGCACGCACACACACACACACGTTACTATTTTAGTTATATAGACACTTAAACTCGCTGTTGCGCTTAACACAAACGCTAAAAAAAACATTGAAAAAAATTAATATTTTATCAGTATTTTTTCAGGGTATTTTTGATTGATGTTGTTTATCAAATTTAACATGATGATAGCTGAAATCATTTTACTTGTGTTTGATAAGTTCATAGTTTAAAGGAATGGCAGAACTTTATCAAGTTTGAGTAAATTTATAAAAACACCTTCTATTTCGTATGAGCTACACCACATGAACCATGTAGGAATGCAATTATGTCTATATAATTTAAACGGACAGAAAGAGATAAAAATAGAAAATACTGATTTAACGAAACGTAGAATTAAATTCAAAGACTCATGATGTAATCATACTGATAAATATAACTCAATAAATGAATTACTGTGTAATTTGCATCTAAATTTCATTGTGCTAACTTACAATCCTTTCAGGTTGGTTGAGTTTAGTTTGTTTTTATCAGTTGTTGAAATTTTGTAAAAAAAACAACTCCAAATCAGTTCGAAACATTTTATTGATGTATTCATGGTTTTAAGATTATTGTGTTGTTTTTTAAACTATGTCTTTTCATGAGTTTTTATATAACCTTATTCAATAGTTTACAGATTTTTTAATGTACACTTTTAGAGCAAGGATGCAGGCATTCGCACCTTGGTGGCGTTGGACGAGCAAGGAGGTAAGCGCCATCTGCCGGTGAACACAAGTGATGATTATGTGTATCAATGGATCCCATTTTTCACTTTTTTTCCTATTAATTCTTCTTTACCTAGCTGGATTGCTTCTTTTGCTTATTCTCACAGTGTCTTTCTATTCTAATTTCTTCCCTTTCTCTAGCTGCCTTGAGAGTTACAGGTTCTTCGCGACTGAGCACGTCCTCTTCACAATTTTATCTTTCAGTATTTTCCCTCCAGAGCGACGTTAGCGCGGAAAATCTGAGGTTCTTATAAACTTTGAAAACAAATTTTTTCTTTACTTCTGGATATCTGTTTGTCTGTCAATCTGTTTGTTGCCTGATATAAAAAAAAAAGCTTTACTGTCATATTATAAAATTGCATTTGGAATATTTTCTGTGGCAGAAGTCCTTTGCTTGCCCTGACATGAACTGTTTTTTTTTTACCTATCACTTCTATCATTAGAGTAAAGAAGCAGGAATTCGAACCCTCGTGGCCCTCGATGACCAGGGAGGTAAGACAAACCCCCTATATCATAAGTTTTGAGCGTATGTTATTTGAAATCACATCTATGAAGAATTGTAATTGAGATAGAAAAAGTCAGCTGTTTCTTTGTTGTTTAGTTTATTTAAAGTACCAATACTAGTTTTTTGAAATGTATTCATTTCAAATTTTGTTGTGGATCATAAATTATATTAATATACAATGATAATAATGTTGTTTGATTAAGTTTTGAATATAATAAGTTCGTGACATGCATATTTTGACCTACCCGTGCGCATAGGATTACAATATGTAATGAAATTTGTTGCAAGTTTGATAAAGTATATAACACTATATAAGATTCAGTTTCTTTAAGTTAATTAGTTTAACGTGATCTTAACCCCGTTTTTATTTGATCCTCTATTAAATTTCTCTCGAACCAAAGTTCAATATCATATTAACTTTCTAATGATGACTTTAAAATGATGTTCACGTTCATCAAGATTCAATCAAATTATAATGTTTAGGAATAGTTATAATAATAAAACGAACATGTAGTTGTCGTGACATTTTGTATCGACGTATAAATATTTCTGGAATACATCAGTTCGATAGTGTATGTAATCAATTTAAATTTTAAAATGGTGAGTTCAATTTGAAGCTACAAGAGATTGTTACGAACGTACAATGAAAACAGCTGGTTTATATTTACGTATGGAATAAGTAGAGGCTAGCTTTATGAGAAATTTCAGTTAGTGTTGGTTGAACTAGATTCATATTCAATGTTTTAGTTTTGAATTTACAGTTAAAGAAGAAATGTTTTCGACATTTTCAAAGTAATTCAACTAACGTTCCCCAGTATTTCTAAAAATATCTGTAATAGTAGTATAAGCAACTAATCTTTTCAGGTTTGTTCTTACTGAGCCAAATTGAGACTTTGAAATGTATCTTGTATCTCCTATAAGTTCCAATTTTTCATGTTCTAGTTGATTATCTTTTAACTTGTTGAATTTATAATACCACAGATAACCACGTTGAACCAGAATAAGTTAGTGAATGATACTTAAAACGTATTTTTATGTATTAAGCGATTGTTTTAGTTAAACACGATGTTCATTGTCAGTTCTAAACAACGACTCTAGTTGTGTATACGTCTTCACTTGTGTTTGTTTGTTTGTAATTATGCACAAAGCTACACAATGGGCTATCTGTGCTGCTAGAGGGCCTTCACTTGTGCATTATTACGCTAAAAAATCGAGTTTCGATACATGCGGTGGGTAGAACACAGACACGGGTGCCCAATTGTGTAACTTTATGTTTAACAACCAACAAACAAAAGCATGTAGTTGTTAGTGTAATAAGATCAGTTAGAAAAGCAGTTATTTAAAGACGTTTTCACAAGTTTGTCTTTGTGGCAAATTAAGAATACATAAATATTTATGGTTATTAAAAGACGTTTTCACAAGTTTGTCTTTGTGGAAAATTAAGAATACATAAATATCTATGGTTATTAAAAGACGTTTTCACAAGTTTGTCTTAGTAGAAAATAAAGAATACATAGATATTTATGGTTATTAAAAGACGTTTTCACAAGTTTGTCTTAGTAGAAAATTAAGAATACATGAATATTTATGGGTATTAAAAGACGTTTTCACAAGTTTTCTTAGTGGAAAATAAAGAATGCATAGATATTTATGGTACAGATTTATGTGAATTAAGTCCACCTTGAAATTCTAAAAAAAAAAAAGTATTGTTAACACATCACTCTTCCTCATTCCCCCACCGAAAAATAATGCTTTTAACTTTCGGTAGGACCTGACGATAAGTTACTAGCAGAACCTCAATAACGTCACGTATCAACTTTCGGTAGGACCTAACAATAAGTTACTAGCAGAACCTCAATAACGTCACGTATCTTACTTAGCGATATACTTTCATGAAACTTTACACAAATTTGACAACATAGACTTCATAAACCATAAAGATTCCGATAAGAAAAACGTTGCATATGATCCCGGTTTCTGATGTATTTAAAGAAGTGTAAAATCCTCTATCACCTCACCCATTAACAAATAATAGTCTTAATTCCCTTACGGACTTATTTGGCAAATTGGACTTTGTTAACCTAAGAAATATCTTGGCATCAGGAAATTAGTTTACGTCTAGATATCATTTTAAATAAATTATTAGCTCCCTCCCTTTCAAAATATATTTACGATGAAGAAATTCAATTTCTTTTTCTTTTATCATATGAAAATCACTTTCCACCGCAGCTCTCAACACGGACCACATTTTTATAGACATATCACAGAATATTCCATGCTAAGTTTAGTTCAAATCAAAACCGATAGCGACATCATGCTGACGTTGTAATTTATCTGCACGCGTTTGTATGGGTTTAATACTCAAATGTTCAAATTCATTACCATATTCAAAATAGTGCTAACGTGGACAAATATACATTTGGTAAATGATTTGGAAACAGATGAAGCCATGCTTTTGTTAAAATAAAATGCAAATTATTAATCACGAAATTCACGGATATGCTGTGCATATGAGTATTTTCATACGGATTATTTCTATACTGATTCCTTAAAACTTGATTGTCTATATTTTCTCTTCGATTAGAAACAGAGTCTGTGTAAAATTATGAAATTATTTAACAAGAACACAGTTTTCATGTCTATCTTTAAAATAAGGATGCATCAGCTAAGTTAGATACCAAATGTTTTGAATATTAAATATTATTAAACACTAGTCTACTAAATGCTCTAACTTCGTTTACAGAGGGACCTGTGTCTTAAGAAATCTTAGCTAGTAGATGATTTTACTGTCGTTAGGGGATTCAGCCTAGTGGATAACATGATTTTAGAGTCCTTGTTAAATGAATAAGTTTGCTATTTTTTAAGAGTTTAGACTAGTAAATGTGTGTCTGATGTTCTTAAGAATTCATAGTAGAGAAAAGATTTATTGGTCATAAGAATCACCCAAGTAAACACGTTTGTTGTATTTAGAGCACTTGGCCTTTCGTCTTTAGGGTTTTATTAGAAAATAAGTTTACTCCTTTTTTGACATCTTGTCTAATGGGTGATAAAACTGTCCCAAAGACTTTGGGTGATTATTTTGTGCACTGTTGATAAAGATAGTCGCGATTGAACGAGTTTGGTTTATGTAGAAACCTATGACCATAAAAGAAAATCAGAGAAACAATCACAGTTGGATTAGTTTCTATTTCTGGATGGAACGGAAAATGGGAAAAATCAAAATCCATAGAAATAGAAAAATCGGACAACCTCTTTAAAAAAAAAGAAACATCAAAATTATTTCTTGACATATAACATTGGTAAAATGTTGTATAAACTAATTTTAAAATAACTTGCTGTGAGTATTTCAAGCAATTTTATACTTTATAACATTTTTCTTACCAGATACATCAAGAACATTTATTTTATTCCAGTTAAAAATAAAGCTGTAAAACATATTTAATAAAAATAATATTTAGAAGTTTTGACTAAATATATTAATTCAAATATATATATATATATATATGTAAAACGAGAGGTGCAAGTAAAAAATTAGATTGAATTAAAGGATTACGTAAAGTTCAACTAAATCAAAATTCTCCCAATAACAAGAAATATCTTAAAGAACTAAGATTTCATTATTTTATCCATACGATTGAGTAAAGTTATTTAGTTAATAAAATCCTTATTTTATTGAATAAAGTATGTGCACAGCATGAGAGGAATAAGATAGAATACTTACAGTGTAGTTTGTGATTTGTATAGAAATATGTTTGAAACCCAGTAGCATGTGCTACATATTAGAATTTCGAATAGTCCGAAGCCGAGTTAAATAATTTAAATTTAGTAGTTAAATTGTACTTTAGATTTAGTATTTAAATAAATGCCGATTTATAGTCAGTTTGTAATATTTGCCAACAAGATTGATACACACAGTTTTCTTTTTTAACACAAATACGTTTTAATATATACACAACAATACAATTTACAATAACAATAATTATAAACTAGCAGAGACCCGCAAAACATTTCCGGCCAAATTAGTATCTTTAT